GAATGAGACAGAAAAATAGAGAATAAAAGAAGAGAGAGAATGGGACGGGACAGAGAGTGAGAGAGAAAGAAAGATTATGCATAAACAGTAATACAATCAAACGCCTGATCATAGTCCCAGCTATTGTTGATAGGAGAGCTAGGATATAAACAAAAAGCAAAACATCATTACTTTTTATCTAATAATTATATTTCGTTGCCCTCTGATAGTAAAAATATTACCATAAATCATTAATGCCTAAACTTTCATCTAAAACTTAAAAATTTTCTATTTACTTATGCACAACTTGAGATTATTTTCATAATATCAACTCCAGCGTAATAGCGATATGTACTACCCTCTGAGGCATTGAGATTTCCGAGAAAGTTTTTACTATTTAAAATAATTATGTAAATAGTATAAATACAAGCCTAATATCTTTACGATGGATGCTTATACTCTGGACGATTTATCTACAAGCTGTTTACAATCCTTTGATGTAATTCTAAATAAATTATTTTATTAATATGTTTAAATTTTAGATAATTGTAAATATTTTAGGTATTAATCTTACAATGTTTACAATGGAGTATTAAAGTTTCCATAATGGTGAAGTCATTTTAAATTTAGTCAGCGATGAAATATTTTTTTAATTTTTCTGTTAACAAGGCGGAGAGGAATCATCGTAGTAAAAGCCAGTTTACATGTATATTGTGGGTATTATATAATGTGATGAGAATGAGAGAGAGAATATCGATTAGGTTCGGTGCTATTGCATAAATACATGTAGTCTACATTCAAAGCGCAATAGTTTGTACATTACTTATCTAATATAATTTATCAATTTGTAAAGACTTCTGTAAAATCCACATCTCCACGGTTTGTAGTGTCATTTCCTGTAGGAAATTATTTAAAAACCAGCCAAATTGGTCAATTTGATATAAAAAACTAAAGAAAGCTTAGAAAACAACCCAATTTACCAGTTCGTTATAAAGTAGGCGGAGCATTCAGTAATTTTTTTGTTACTTCAGTATAAAATTAAAATTTATTTCAATTAAAAATGTAAGCTCTTTTCATTTAATTCAGAAACTTTTCACTTAACGCCCTCGCACCTCACTTTTAATACAACTTTTTTATATTAAATGATTGCTTGACAGATGAGTTCTGAGTTTTTATGATTTCGTAAAAAATTGAAATTTGAATTTGAATATGAAAAGGAAAACAACTGACAAAACGTTTTGGTTTTTCCACAAAGACTTGTAAAACTACCTTAGAATAAAACGGAAATATTGTGACAAATATATAAAGTGTGTTAAATAATATAGGTTACAGTGTAGGCAGAAATACTCAATATTTAATGTGCTGAAAATAATTTATTCGTGCTAAAACATCATTACCAACATCAACATTTGCATTCTACTGATTATTACAATCGTAATTGAATGCAATTACATGCTGAAACCAAGAACTAACTACATGGTAAATAAATAATCATAATAGATAAAAAATAAAATAACTTTTTCCCTTCTCCTGCCACCAATGACCATTTTACAATTTTGTAATTATCGTGGTTTATATATATTTAAACGTATTTTAGTTCTACAATACAGGAATAATAATTAGACGGTTCTCAGGTTTTTACAGTAAGTAAGTATTGAGCTTTACCTCTACTTATGTTAAATAAACACGTATTCTTTATTTGATCGTATGTTGTACGTAAGCGCATTGAACAAATCCCGTCTGAGGTTTAACCTTCATTCAATATTCATCAGACCGCACCTGTTTCATGTTCTATCCTCGTTTTATCTAGGACAGTACGGAAAAAAAGCAAAAAACCCTCCCGTTTCAAATGGTTTTCGAAAAAGGGATTTTAATGAAGTCCCAACGTTCACACATAAGCGATAAAGCGTTTTTGTCACATACTATTTGTCTTGTTTGTATTCTGATGGAATACAATCATTTATCAGTTATGCACATTCAAATATTGCGTGCTGTTCAAATTATCTAGTTTAAATACGTCTATTGTTCCTACAAAAAGTCAAACTGTGTCTGTGCCTTTTCCTCTATTATAATTGCAAATGTCCTATTCTTTATAAATAAAAAGTTTTAAGTTCCAACTAGACAGCTTTACAAGACCTATACCAAAATGCAGGTTTCGTGTTGATTACTTATTTGAAATTTTTATTGGCTGTTTAAGTACTGAAGAAAACAACTATTTAGTATATATTAATATAATGGAGTTTGCACTATACATATTCAGCAACTCTAATCGTTACATAAACGTTTATGAGATAATATGATGGATGACCAGTCATATGATCTATGATTATTCGAAGATTGTGAGATGCGGTCTGGTGTGACGTAGGTTTCAGAAAAACATTCTCTATATCTGCCAACGTTTCGATCTTTATTGAGATCATCTTCAGGGCTCAAAGTGTTTGTTTTCTATGTGCAGATGTGTCATTCTTGTCAGTAGTGTTCAGAGTGCCAGTGAGACATTGATGTTTTATGTTTATATGAGTTGGATTTTGAAGAGGTGGGGAAGGAAGTCGGGATAGACAATTTTATATGAGGAGTCGGCTTTTTTGAAGTGAAAGGAGCCGACAATGGGAAAAAATTGGTAATGGTTCGGCCAGATTATCCCTTCATATATAGACGGGAATAATTAGGGAAATGCAAGCCAAATTGTTGAAGAATTAGACTATGAAGTGTTTGATGTGTGGAATATGATGATGATATATGTATGTTATCGATATTGAATTTGATTAGTGATATTAGCGTAGCTGCGACTACGTTTACATATGTCTATTCTGGAATTAATGCTGCATTTATCCCTGTTGATGCAAACCATTTCTAAAAAGTTACGTTTATGCTTGTTTTGTTCTTTGTGTGATATTTTTGGATTGTTGAAGTCGAAATTGTGTTGGTGTTCAAAATGGTGGGTTGGCAGTGCTGTACGAATTTGTTTGGGTTTTTTGCAATCATAGATATATTGCTTTAGTCACTTATCCAGATAGTGGGATGTAATGGCGGACAATGAAGATGATCTCAATAAAGTTCGAAACGTTGGCACGATAAAGAAAACGTTTTTCTGAAACCTACGTCACACCAGACTGCATCTCATGATCTCCAAATAATCATTAGCTAACGGTCACTAAACACCACACATATATTAATATACTATCTTATATGTATCTTTAGTATATATATTTAGAAACTATGATCATTACATGAACGTTTATGAGATAATATGTTGGATGACAAGCAATATGATCTATGATGTGACTACATCATGAAGATGGCCGATTCATTGTCCGATGCTATCAGAAGAGTACGTCAAATGAATTTACAGCGGGTGAGAAATCATCTATTTCCGTAAAATTCAAATAAAATTATTTGGTTATAAATCCTTATTGAATGGCTTGGGAATAGTCAAATAAAGAATTTAGTGCGTTCTTTTGTAAGTATATTTTTTTGTTAGATCAGGTTCATCCCAAAATATTAAAAAAATAATTTCACGACCTTCCACAACGAGTGTGTTATTTCTTTCTTTATAACGAATATCGACATAATTATAATGTCGCCCTTCCCTTGCATGAAAACAACATTGCTTGGGTGTCTTTTGAATTGAACGAACCCTGGAAAGAAAGAAAATTCTCCTTCATACTATTATTTCATCTACTAAACAGGCCGATTCAGCCGAATCCATCAGAGAAATGAATTTTCACCGTAGGTTCACTTTAAGACAGACCTCAGGGAAACATCTTTGGCTCAGTTATTTTTTTAATGTAAACTACAGATATTTCTACACAAGTTAACATTTCAATGCATTCCTTCGCAGATGATACAGCGATTCTTACACATAATTTGAACCCATCCATAAATATTCTTACACATACAACAACACTAAATGAGCAACAAGCTTTTATTTTACGTGACAACGAGAAGTCCCATCTGAGCGTATACTTGTGAAGTCTTTGGGTCGAGGATCCCTATGACTCCAAACTATTCAGTCCATAATTCTCCGTCATATGATCCCTTTTATGCTAGCAATCATATCATTCACGACCTTCACATACTATTTGTGTGTTATCTAATCAAAACTTGTTGTAAAAAAACCAATCACCATGCATGCACAATAATTGCCTACTAAAACAGCTATCTATTCCTACACTACCAGAACATCCTACAGTAGGATTAAAGAAAGAATGGTCCTGAGACTTTCTCAATAAAAATATTATGAAATATTCAGTGTTAAAGAGTGCAGTCACTGGACAACTTCTTGTACAGATGACACAAACGACTCAATCAACGATATAAGAAAATATCTACTTAAAGCCATCTTTGTAGTTGCAAAGTTGTAAGTACTACTACGATGACTGGCAGAAAAACGTCCTGTAATTATTATATTAATCTATTTATATTTAGTGTTGTAATTGATCAAGTTACTTATTTCAATTAATTATTCTTTTTATGTAAAGTCTAGGTTGAGTTGGAAAAGTTACTGTCACGAGGGGAATTGGAAGGCTGCTCTGACCACTTGAGTTGTATCTAATTTGAAGTCACGATCGCTCAAGAGGTTAGAGCAGCGGTTTATTGAGCCGAAGGTCGTGGGTTCGAATCCCGCTCGTGGCACTAACTTTTTCATTTCAACCAAGACCTTACATTCTTACATAAAAAGAATAATTAATTGACATTATATATATGTATTGTTGTAATTTTTGTTAATAATAATAAATTTTGTAATTTTGTGTGTGGTGATTAGTGACCGTTAATCGATATTTATTTAGAAATCGTGAGATGCGGTCTGGTGTGATGTAGGTTTCAGAAAAACATTTTCTTTNATTTGTTTAATTTAAACAATGTTTGCAAATCCCAGACCCTGAAGATGATCTCAATAAAGATCGAAACGTGGCACGATAAAGAAAATGTTTTTCTGAACCAGACCGCATCTCACGATTTCTAAATAAATTTTGTAATTTTGTTTTCTTGCAATGCAGTTGATTGATTGTGTGTTTCAGAATGGGCGAATCGGACTATAGAGAAAGAGGGGGAGGTGCAGGAGCGCCTGGGCCATACATCGGCATATACGGCTGGAGGAAGAGGTGTCTCTATTTGCTCATACTCTCCCTTCTCGTCCTCGTCATCCTCAACCTCGCTCTCACCCTCTGGGTCCTCAAAGTGATGGAGTTCAATACAGTGAGTACTATTTAGCCCAAAGGGGCAAAATATCTCAAATAATTTATAACCGCTCCTGTAAATCACTCGACTCGATTTATTTCCGAAGCTCAACTTATCAGGAATCTCCTAATCCTCGCGACGTGTTCTCTCTCTGAGACATGATAACTGAGACTTGATATATTAGTCCCCGCCTTGGGTCTTATATTAGAACACGTAAGAAATATCTTGCTAAGTATCTCACAAGTTGCCTTCACGAGGTATAAATCGCCCCCTATAAGTGATGAACGTCATCTTAAAAAAATAGGACAGCTATAATTTTATCAGCAAGTTTCATCTAGACAGACTGGATGGAAGTTTTCCTCTTATAATTTAACAGACGAGATATTTTTTAAATAATTAAGTTTAAAAATGTAATCCAAAAAAGTCATCATAAGTAGTTTTCTGTAATTGCAAAAGAATTAAAAACCTGGGAACATCAAATAATATCGCATCAGTTAATTCTTTGACTTATGATTTTTCCTTCTCGAAGGTGGGATAATAGGTCATCTAAAAAAAAAAAAAACAGTTTTTCTTTCAATCCGAAACGTTGTGGAGTGAAAGAAGAACTGGTTGTTGTTTTTTTCAGATGACCTACTATCCCACCTTCAAGAAGGAAAAATCATAAGTTAAACTGTTGAGTCGAAATAAACATCGTTAATTCTTTGAAATAGCATGTAGTACACTGCCATACCACTGAATATGGCAACATGAACAACATAAAACCCCACTAACAAACCAAAACATGGAGGATAGACAGATCAAAATGATCGGAAACGGCCTGACTAATGACTCATCACAGACTACAATAGCAGTCAAGTGATAGCTAAAAATATCATATCTGAAACCTCCTGACGACCGTGAACCTTTGCTCTTGATAGCACGATAAAACACTGTGACGCAGAGTGAAAACATAATAAACATTCAAAGTTCACAAAACGTTTTCTTGAGACGGCTAAAGCCAGGAACACACTTACCCGATGCCACGCCATGAGAGGCTACCCGATTCTTCCCGACGCAAATCCAAACTCCGATTTTCCATAAGGTTACATTACCCCCGTGCACATCTACCCGTGCTATGCCACGCTAACCTACCCGACGCTCTGCGAACCCCATTGTCCAGATTTTCGTCGGGTCGCATCGAGTACAGTCGAAGACAAAAGAACCGGACACTCGTATTTTTATTCAAACTACATGTATTATTGTCGTTATATTAATTACAACATACTTATTTTAATA